TACCCCAGGGCTATAATTTGAACAAAATTGAAGAGGTTCATTAGAAAATGTCTCATACCAAATATCTAAGCTAAAGCCTCTTTAGTGTAAAAGAAGAAAATATAATATAAATATATATCTATATAATATAATTATAAAAAAAATCAGTGCACCCCTGGGACAGACCCAATTTGGGGCCGAGGGTTTTTATTTGAACAAACTTGGTAGTCACCTGCTAGAAAATGTTTCATGTTAAATATCAAAGCTCTAGCTCTTTGCGTATTTAGATTTTTTTACTATAATTATTCATATCAGGAAAATAATTTTGAACCTAGGACTTTTATTTGAAGACATTTGGAAGACACACACTAGAAGATGAGTCATGCTGAATATCTAAGCTCTATTCTTTGAGTTGTTTAGAAGAAGAGTTTTCACGTTTTTACTTTTGGTTACCGTGGCAACCAGAATTTAGCAAGTAAACGAAATCTTTGAACAACGCTTCTTGCCAGGAACATTCCCAGCTCATATTGGCCTATTAGTATATGAGTATATGAGGGTATGTTGTTTTAAGAAATGTTTGACACGATTATTGACTCACGTCCCAAAAAGCTCACCCTTTATAACTTTGCGCTCAGATGATTTAAAAATAATAATATTTTGCGTTAAAAGAGTAAAAAGTTCCGGATGAAAATATTTATGTTGTTTCCTCGAGTAGGTTTTTAACCATTCAGCAATGATTTCGTGAATACGGAAATATAATATCATATTTCCTTCATACATGCATTTTTGGAAAATTTAACCAATAACTTTTGATGCTTTATATACATTTTTAACATGTCTTTACTTTTCTTCGACTTGCTTTTTAATGCCTTTTTAAGTTTTTATCTATATGTATGCTTATCCTGATTCTGTAACTATAATATATTGATGTTAAAAAGAACATACATATATAGTATAATCGCCTGGTTTGGAGATTTTTCTTTGCTCTCTCTAACCCCTCATATTAAGTACTCCTTCAATAAGGATTTGATAAGGATTTGAAACCTGTGTAGATATAAAACAGTGCTCATTTTCTCCTCATTTCATTTCGGAAAAACTTTTCTTTTTATCGTGACGGCGACAACAAAATCAACTGAACAAAACATCTGCATTTACTCATTGAAGGAACGCACACAACTGATTTATTGTATATCGCTGTAGGGCAGCTTACGATAGCATTTGCTAGTAATGGTTCATTTTTAAATGTTTTTTTTTAAATTTTATTTATATTTTTGCTAGGAGGGGTACCTTTGAAAAGCTTTTTATCATTTTCTTTTTATTTATTGCTGATTTCTGTTTAAAAAAATCAAATTGCAATTAAACAGTTATAATATATGAAAAGAGTTTTTAACGAGGGTATAATACTGACTGGGGAGACATTGATGGATTTTTTTTTGCTATGACAGCAAGCCATTGTTTTTCCATTAACGTTTGAAACCAGAGTAACTAGATTATATAATTTTAATAATCTATACATACCGTTCACAAATATTCCACTTACCCGATGTCTTTTCAACACTTTCACAAAATCCTTCTTGGAGACTTTGTGATTCTGTTAAAGTAAATTTTAAACAATATCAAGCACTCACATTTATGTCAATGATACTGTAGTCATCTAAAGATACTAAATATCTAAATAACAAAAGAATATGATCTACAGGGAATATAGCTGCCGTATCAGTGCTATTAACTATATCTTACGTAATTGGACCTTTTTCCATTTATGAAAAACATACAGATTTATTAATAAAAGGTATGACAATTTCCATATAAAATTAACATCAAATAAACTTACCGTACAGGAACAACAAAATGATAAACGCGAACAAATGAAGAAAAAACATGTTTCAAAATGTATTGATGCTATCCACCACTAACACAAATGAAACCCATTGTCTATGTATAATATATAAATTTAGACTTTACTACGGATGTAAAAATGGTTTTGATACACGAACTATGACAATGTTCTTCCTGGCTTACTAATTTACTTACTTTGCTGATGAGGTTATATGCATATTGTTTAAGTGGAGTTATGTACATTCAGAGGAATAAAGTGAGTGAACAGATAAAAATCCAAATAAGTTTACATTTAGCCATAATTCCTTTCAATTTTAAAATTTATTTTACATTTACAACAAATAACACACGTAGACCAAGATATTTTTGGAAATACCTTTAACGTTCAATTTATGAAAAAGAATTGGGAAGTCTTTCTATATTTAAGGCAGATTTATATCTTATTGTAAACATTTACCAATATCAACTGGTTGTCAAGCCACTCTTTGAAAATATATGATCAATTCAGGTCAACTTGAAAATGAAAAATTATTATAATGTCACTTTAACTTCAATGTTTCGGCTCGAATACATGTCAATTATTATTGACGTGGTGCTATATGTTGCATTATACATCTTTCTATAGTAAGAATATTTAAGTATCTCATCATTTTATCGCAGTAAATGTAAATTGGAGAGTGGGTAAGTGAGGGAGAGAGTGAGGAGATTAATCATTAAGTACGTGAGTAAAGAGTGATGAAGAGTCTTACCAGTAACAGGAGTGGGTATGTGAAATAGTACGTGAGGTGAGGTGTGATCAGGTGTGTGAGTGAATTATAGAGATAGTATGTAAGTGATGTGAGTCTATAAATGTGAGTGATTCAGGCCTGTCTGAATGTGAGTGACATAATTGGCAATAAACCTGCTAGTAAATTAATTAGTGAGTTCCAAAAGTGATGATTAGATGCAAGTTCAAAGAGTGAGTTGGTGAGTGATTGAGTGAGTGAGTGAGTGAGTGAGTGAGTGAGTTTGTGAGTGAGCGAGTGAGTGAGTGAAGGAGGGAGGGAGGGAGGTATGTAGGGTGGGAGAGAGGTAGGTAAGGCGGGAAAAAGTTGGTTTGGGTGGGTAAGTTGGTTGGTGGGTCGGTTGGTGGGTGTGCGTGTGTGTTTGAGTGAGTGATTGATTGATTGAGTGAGTGAGTGAGTGATTGGGTGGGTGGGATGGTTTGGGTGAGTGAGTGATTGAGTGAGTCCGTGAGTAAGTGGATAAGTCTGCATTAAAAGATAATGTCGGACGCGTATTAAACTCGTTCTGTTATTTCAGTATTGAAACGTTGTCTTGTTTTGACTGAACATCTAGATTATTCTGTCACAGCGAAATGCGTTGCTTAGCCTGCCGCAAGGGTCTTATGTTTGCTTATAGCAAGAGCACGCTCAGTTTGTGGATTTCAATATCAAGCCTTTACCGAACTTTATGAATCAACTATTGTACAAATTATTACATATGGCTCTGGTTTATGGGCTATTGAAGACTGTGCATAAATGTTATCCAGCATAGAGCAGCTGCAAGAAACTTTTTGAACGTTAGTAAATATACTTATTAATAAATGCTGCTGTAAATGGTGATATTGGGTGGCATCCAATGACCTTAAGAATTACAAAAAGCAGTTGTTCATTTATGGTCAAGATTAGTTAATATGTCAAGTGAAAAAAATAAACAGAAAAGTGTCTGTTTTGTCAAATAATGAAAGTAGTAGAACTGTAAAATTTGGAATTTTAAAGCTGTTTACATGTTTCTGAAGTATGATTTAAATGAACATGCACATATAAGCAGGTTTGCATCTAAGCATAAAATATGTGGAATACTTGTCATGGGGAGACATGGATGGTTATGTCATGGCATGCCAATGCTAATAGAGGAAATGGTAGAAATAAACTAAGGTTCTACCGATTATTCAAAGCTTATTTTCCTGTAAATTAGTATTAAAACGATCACTTATAGATGCACTTGCAATTTAAGCGGTAAGTCCCAAACAACGTTGAGATTTGGAGATATAATAATATTTTGTTTGAGAAAAAAAATGTTCATTTTGTCACAATATTGGAATAAATGAAGTTGAAGATGAGTAACATGTGTTACTACACTGTCCTCTGATTTAAGACAACAGCTATGTTTTAAAGCATGTCGAAATTTTATTAATTTTGATAGTGTAGACGAAGTTTAAAAGATAAGGATACTTCTGAATGAGGAGGTCATTGTTAATTGTTGTGCCAAAACCTGCTTTCAAATGTTAGAAAAGCGTCATGATAGTTTGAATACTGGGTAATCGGAATCTGTACTATATTCTTATTCTATATAAACATTGTTTGAGCATACAAGCATCTAACTCTAGAAAAACCTTGTTAATAATTTGTATGTCTGATGAGATTAGTCATGTGCTTTAACTGTTTAGACCATTTTGTAATGTCGAGAATTTGAAAAGTATATTATTTTTTTAACAGTATTAAAAGTTTAAATCTTATAAAAGCATTAGATTAACAAGAATGTTTTATAGGTCATAGCATTTAGAATATATGTACATATATAGTCAAGGAATTAATATAGTTAAGAACCGTAAAAAAGGACAGTTTGTTTATTGTTATACAAATCAATGCCAAGTCATCAAGATGCATCAATGCTTAAGGCGGAAAATTCAGTCCATGTCCAATGTTTGACAAAAGGCATTTTCCCGTTAAAGAAGAATTCTTCACTGATTCAGTTATTTTATTAAAATGCATTGTAATGAGATTCGACACCAACTAGCATCATAATCAAATGAATACGAAAAATAAAAATCCAGTGAAAACCATATTTGAAACCACGAGATGATGCATAGCAATTGTTTGTCCTATTGATACGTTACAAGTTGCACTTCGACCTCGTATAAGGCTATTGTTTAAAAACAAACCAGGAAGTTTTTGATTGAATGTAAGTTTGTTTTTTAATGAAAATTAACTAAACTATCTTTTCTGTGTTTTCAGTGTGCTGTTAGCCTAAAACGTATACTGCACGTATTATATTTATTGAAGATTTAATGTAGGGATTGACCTTCCGGTGAAATATGCTTGTTTTTGTGGCGTGTCTAATGTTTTCACTCAATGTGATACTTTGCTTTTCTACAGGTATTTTCACTTATTTTACTTTCTTTACGAAACAGTTCTCTGAAATTGCTCAAATGAATTTTGTAACTTGTCTGTTTTGTAGGCTTATTTTTAAATCAAGCTTTTTTGTAACATCCATTTTATGACAGAGAAGAAGACATGACGTCCTGAAAACTGATGTTTACCATAATATGAACTACCAGAAACCTACATCACTTTCCAATCGCAGTTATTTTTTGGTAGGTTTTTCGTCGCTCCAATACTGTAAAGGTCATAAGACGACTTCCGAGCTTTACTGGTGAAGGAAACCTCATGAGCCTCCATGTATTATTTAAAGCGCAAGAGTAAACAACCGACTTTCCGTTTGGTAGCTTGGTAGCTTCAAGTCCATGTCCCTTGTGGGATTCGAGCCCACAGCAATGAGGGGTGGAACCTAGTGATGTGCTTGTTTAATTAACCCTTATGGGTCGCCATAAAGAAAACTCCTGAACCATATAATGTGTATTTTGACTGGTCCCTGTGATATGGATGATGTTTAACTCTCATTTCGACCAGCAAAATACCCCTCATATAAATGGAAGGCTGATATATGAGGGTTGGTTCCCTAGTGTGTATTATAAATGAGATAAAAGGAAATAATTTGGTTTCAAGCACTTTAGATCAATGTTCGGACCTATACATATGGTTTAAACCATGATTCACTTTGTTAACAAGATACGTTTGTAAAACATGTATGCCCCCTATCGGCAGCCAATAAGTCATGTGATCAGGTTATTATGCATGACTTCTGACCCATTGAACAAACAATTAATAAGGGTTGTCTAGTATCTACTGGTCATGACTAGTCACAAGGTAATAATTATTGTGACCTCATAGGTTGTGTGCAGCAATTTAAGTTATTACAAATCTTACCAAATAATTATGCATAAATTTTATGAATCATGTAGGCCTCATTAATGACGGCCAAGTTGTTATATTACATAAGACCTTCAAATGTGTATACCAAAAGCATTTTTAGTTTGATATTAAAAAGCAACCAAAGCAACGAGTTATTGGTCAGAAACAGTCATTAAGTACAAGGTCAATATGACATTGACCCCTTGACCCCAAAATCAATAGGGGTCATCTACTGGTCATGACCAATCATCATACAAAGTTTAAAGTTCCTAGGCCTAAGCGTTCTTTAGTTATTGACCGTTTTTACCTACAAGGTCAATGTGACCTTGACCTTGGACCCCTTGACACCAAAATCAAAAGGGGTTATCTGCTGGCAATGACCAATTATCATACCAAGTTTGAAGTTCTTAGGCCTAAGTGTTCTTTAGTTATTATCGGAAACCGTTTTTATCTACAAGGTCAATGTGACCTTGACATTTGACCCCTTAACCCCAAAATCAATAGGGGCCATCTGCTGGTCATATCCAATCACCATACCAAGTTTGAAGTTCCTAGGCCTAAGGGTTCTTTAGTTATTGATCGGAAACCATTTTTACCTAAGAGGTCAATGTGACCTTGACCTATGACCCCTTGACCCCAAAATTAATAGGGGTCATCTACTGATCATGACCAATCACCATACCAAGATTGAAGTTCCTAGTCCTTAAAGTTCTTTAGTTATTGATCGGAAACCGTTTTTGCTTACAAGGTCAGTGTGACCTTGACCTTTGACCCCTTGACCCAAAATCAATAGGGGTCATCTGCTGGTCATGACCAATCACCATACCAAGTTTGAAGTTCCTAGGCCAAAGCGTTCTTTAGTTATTGATCAGAAACCGTTTTTACTTACAAGGTCAATGTGACCTTGACCCCTTGACCCAAAACTCAATGGGGGTCATCTGCTGGTCATGACCAATCATCATACAAAGTTTGAAGTTCCTAGGCCTTAGCGTTATAGTTAATTGATTGGAAACCGTTTTTACCTACAAGGTCAATGTGACCTTGACCTTTGACCACTTGACCCCAAAATCAATAGGGGTCATCTGCTGGTCATGACCAATCATCATACCAAGTTTGAAGTTCCTAGGCCTAAGGGTTCTTTAGTTATTGATCGGAAACCGTTTTTACCTAAGAGGTCAATGTGACCTTAACCTTTGACCCATTGACCCCAAAATCAATAGGGGTCATCAACTGATCATGACCAATCCCCATATCAAGTTTAAAGTCCCTAGGCCTAAGGGTTCTTTAGTTATTGATCGGAAACCGTTTTTACCTAAAAGGTCAATGTGACCTTGACCTTTAACCCCTTAACCATAAAATCAATAGGGGTCATCTGCTGGTCATAACCAATCACCATACCAAGTTTAAAATTCTTAGGCCTAAGGGTTCTTTAGTTATTGATCGGAAACCGTTTTTACCCAAGAGATCAATGTGACCTTGACCTTTGACCCCTTGACCCCAAAATCAATAGGAGTCATCAACTGATCATGACCAATCACCATACCAAGTTTGAAGTTCCTAACCCTTAAGGTTTTTTAGTTATTGATCGGAAACTGTTTTTGCTTACAAGATCAATATGACCTTGACCTTTGACCCCTTGACCCCAAAATCAATAGGGGTCATCTACTGGTCATGAATAATCACCATACCAAGTTTGAAGTTCCTAGGCCTAAGAGTTCTTTAGTTATCACTGGGAAACCATTTGGTCTACAGACCGACGGACCGACGGACGGGACGGACCGACAAGTGCAAAGCAATATACCCCCTCTTCTTCGAAGTGGGGGCATAATAAGATCTACAGTTGCAAAGAAACGTGTGAAAAAGGAGATTTTGTACACTTATTTCAGTAAAATATTGGCATTTTGGTATCAAAATTTTCAGACCTTTGGTTACATGAAAACAGCAGAGGGTGAAAAGCAAATATTGCATAATTGTGCTTTCTGGAAATGCCGATTTTGCTTTTTGAAAACTTAAAAATCATCAAATTCCAACTATAATTGACGTTACGTCAGGTCCTTGCAATCTTGAAAGATTTCGTTGATCGATTGATGAGATGAAAGCAACAAAAAAAAAAAAAAACTTCTGCGACTTAAACTTTGGCAATACTATTTAAACATCTATTTGAATAATTAACAATATACATATATTTGCATCAATTGATATCAATACTTCACTTGTGAAAGTGGTTGACAAGGATAACATTAATACATTTTGAAACATGTATTTTTTCAATTGTTAGCGTTAATCATTGTGTTGTTCATGTACAGTAACATTATTGCATGTTAATTTTATATGCAAATGTACATTTGTTCTGTTTATATGTTTGAATTGTTTCATCATTTGAATATTATTATCTAAATATTAAGAGCAAGATTGTTTACCTTTTTCATTAAATAATTCTGTATAATTTAATCAATAACATGAAATCATGTTAAATAATTAAAATCAACAGGTTAACAAGTAAAGTGTACCATCATTAAGTTTACTTTTATGGCAGCTACCTGTAAAAGCATTTTTTGACATTTAGTTTAAGCCTGATGTGTTGACCAGTTGTTTCAATATAGTTGAATTATAATGATAGAGCTTGATATTGTTTAAAAATTTTACATTTGACAGAATCAAATAGTCTCCAAGAAGGATTCTGTAGCAGGACTGATAGTAAACAGAGTAAGCAGAATATATTATGTGAACAGTTGTCTAATCTAGAAAGAAAAACGCATACGTTTCAAACGTTTAATACAATACATTTAGATTCATTATAATATTATTTAATATTATGTTTAAATAATCGCGGATACATATACACTAAAAGGCATTTAAAAGCAAGTGATATGACTATTATTCATTAGTGAAGGTGGTAGTGAAACCATTTGTCACCCGAAAATCAAAAAGCGTAGAACTTTTGAAACAGGACAGCCGTATTTAAGATTTTTAAATCGAACTTTTCTAACAGCTAACAGTTCTTGTCTACAAATCTGCACTTCTAATATATACACCACATTCTAATAAAACTGAGATTTTTGGAAAATGCTTCATCTCTGTTACTTTTATTTGCTTCCTTGTTATTATAAACTACTTTATTTCGTATCCATAAATTTGAACATTTATAATAAAGCATAATTATATTGTGATAAAATAATCATATTAATTTTCCTTACAGTTTTGAGAATATGTACAGAGGACCGGATGCTAGATACAACGACTGCTTATATCGATACTCTCAAGGCTCCTAAATTAAGAAACACATTTTGTGAATGTTTTTTAAATTCTTCTATTCCCAACGCTTTTTTGATTTTTAATTTATATAATTGCACTCATGGGTCACCATTGAAATTTGAAATAGATGAGAATATTCTTGATAAAACGTCTAGCTCTCTTAAAGTACGTGCCCAAAAAAATACTGAGCTTAAGTTTATTTCTCAAATTGATCGGAAAAAAGAGGGAGCTTGTCTTGCCATCTATACAGGTACGTACCGCATTTATATTTCAATTACCGTACATTTGGATTTTAAAAATTGATCTAGTGTTGTTTATAGAAATCAATACAAAGTAATCCATCGGGGCTGCATGTAAATTGCAAACTCGGTTGGGCTTTCTTTAGGGATTCTTGTATTCTCTATTTTATCGCCACATCAGCGTTGTTTATGCCGTGTGGAGGCTGTAAAATGTCGCCCCGTACATTCAATTAGGGATGTTATATTTCCGATCCTTAAAGATCGTTCAGCACGACATTATTGTTGTGCTTGTGGTAATTTAGATATTTCTATTTGGCAATTTTCTTGTTGGGTGGTTGCGGTATTCCTTCATTGAATACCGTTGAATCACCCTTAGGATATGTGGCCTGCTTTTTAAATTTGTCTTTTGACGTCTTATCTGTGATATGCAGGCTTCATAACATCTGATCCCCTTTGAAAATTCTATTTTATTTAGTTCCACCCATTGTTTTCTCGTTGAGAACAAGGGCATTTTACTACTTGGGGACCGTATGCCGCTTTTCATGGAATGGCACTTACGTGTTACATTGAAAGTTCCATGATAACTGCAGATGTTTCAAAGTTCAAAATTGTACCAGTTCCTGTTAAATGTTGAATTATGCTTAAGCCGGTGCTAGGAGGCGTGGACGGTAGTTTGCACTTGACAGTACATTCCATGAAAAGGCTCAATCAAACCGAGCCTGCAACACTTTCAATTCTGCCGTGTTTGGCTTTCTTTAGGGATTCTTGTTTTCTCTATAAGATTGAGTCTGTTCATGAGGGACAAAGAAAAAATGAAACATCCCTCACGTATCCAATGTTTTCTAACTGCTAATATACGACATTTCAATATGTTTTTGACTCTATGTCTCGTGCATGACAGCTGTCTCATGCTTCACATTTGTGCCGCGTTATTTCAAATTTTCCATTGATGCATGACAAATAATTTGGTCGAACGAGATTTTCTAACTGCTGTACTTTCACCTTTATGTGTGACCTTGACATTAAACCTAGGGTTGTACGTCCTATGCATAGCACACTGTCTCATAAGACTACAATTCTACAAAGTTATCTCAAATTCCCTTGTTTCATGAGTAATGAGCCGGACAATGTATCAAAACTGCTGACGTTTGAACTCTTATTGTGACCTTGATCTTGGAGCTAGTGATCTAGACCTTACGTGTTACACACCGACCTAATTTGTTTAACATTTATGCCTAGTTAGTTTAAAATCCCCTTATGTATGACAGAGTTATAGGACAGACAAGATTGTCAAATTGCGGACATTTGACGTTCAAGTGTAACATTGACATTGGAGTTAGGGGTCTACGTCTTGCACATGTTTCATTGCCCCATCATCCAAGTTTTTATAAAACCCTTAACGAATGACAGAGTAATTGACCGGTCAATATTTTCTACTTCTGACCATTGACTTCTAAGTGTGATCTTGGGACCAAAGGTCAAAGTCTTGCACCTGGTACACTGTCTTAAAATGTTTAATTTCTGTGCCAATGAGTTTCAAATGCTGTGAAGCATAATCAAATTATAAAACGGATAAGATTTTTTTTGTTTGCTGACCTTTGACAACTTCAGTATGACATTTAGGCAAAGGGGTCTAAGTCTTGCGCATGACACACTTCCCTTCATGTTGAATATTTATCTTAGTGTTTTAAATCTCTTAATGCATGACATAGTTATTGGCCGGATACGACTTTAACGTGCGACCTTGACCTTGGATGTAGGGGTACTGTTCTTTCACACGATTCACTATTTTATCATGCTTTACATTTGTGTCAATCTTTTTTCAAAATCCATTGATGCATGACAGAGTTATAGGACGGACAAGATTTTCTAACATCTAAGTGTTACCTTGACCATGATGTTAAGGGTATAGGACTTGCGCATGTCACGCTCTCTTGTCATATTCAATATTTGTGCAAATATATTCAAAAGCCCTGAATGCCTGACAGAGTTATAGGCCGGACATAGTTTTAATAAACACACACATGCCAACGCACGGACGGACAGTAGTTATTCTACATACTCCCTGGCCATAATCATGGCGGAGGCGTAATGAGGTATAAGTTAGTCAACTTTTTTTTTCTTTTTAGAAAACAGTTACCAACGTAAAAATGTCAAATTCAATATTGATTGCAAAAAGGTTGCAGCAACAACAACAACAGAAACGATGCCAATTTCAAAATAAACAAGTCAGGTGACTGAAGCAATGTCTTTTTCATTATCAATATCTAAATCTCATACATTGTCAACACAAAAGGAGATGTTTACTGGTCAAACAAAAGTCTCTTCTGAAAATACAACAGACAACCGAAGTAGTGGCATTATAGGTATTTTCTAGCAAACTGAAATACAATGTAACATTCAAATTTAAAAATTGCAGATGTTTTTTATGAGTTAATGTAGCGATTTAAAATTCATTTGTTTAGCACATTTTTATAATAAAAAGAAGCGCCATAACGTATTTATTACAATATATAACGTGAAGATTTTTCCTAAAGTTTTTTTAGCGGTCTAGTTGTATTGGTCGATCGTCTTCATTTGTAAATACTTACTTGCAGTAATAAATTTAAGATTAATTCAAGTTTGGTTCTTTTTTAGTATATCCCTACACAATTGTCTTTTATTTGTTAAGTTATTCTCACAAAGAAGGTATATCATGTGACATCAATGTATATGTTTTACTTAAGACAAAATATACTTTGAAATGAATTGTGAGTGAAGTTTAATGAAGTACAAAGTTTTTATGTGTAAAATAATACTTATCTGCGATGTTGTACAAATGAGTATTTTTTCTCGAGGATAAAATTCTTTAAGTTAAATGTGTTTAGGCTTGTTAATCTGGACAACGATAACTTGCCCAGAACAGTAATTTATAACAGAGTAGCAAGTTATGGCATATCAATTTACTTTAAGAACTGTATTACCTTAAATGTATTATTATACTGTGCTCTTCTTAGTTCACGGTACTTAACACTTTAAAACAGCAAAGAACACAAACAATAAACTTACACTACAAAAACTGTCATAAACTGTATCATTTAGTCCTTTTTCTGCTATTTGACACAAGGAAACAACAATAATTCAATCAAAATTAGTTTTAATTTGTCAGATGTAGACAGTGTGTCGGCCATTTTGAAAACAGTATGTCATCATTTAACTCGCGATAATGGTGTTTTATTTCAGTTTTTTCATGTTTCAGTTAAAATTTCTTTATGTTATTTTGCATAGTTTTAAATATTAAAAGTTTCTTTACATTGTAACACAAAATTTATTTTTTCAACAAACAAGAACATTTAGAAATTGATGATTGTTTCAGACGTATGCACAAATTTAATGGACTATTGTTGTTTTTTGCAGAAGTTTGTAAAATGTTGTTCAGTTTTACGTAAAAATCTATAGATTTATACAATTTTGCACAAAAACTTTGTTGTTAAGGTGTTTGAATAAAATATGTCAATTCTGACCAATTTTAACACTGGTCACATGAAAATATGCCATTACCGTGAGATAAGTGATGACGCGGAATTAGTGATGTTGAGTATACTATTTTTTATACAAATACAGGGTTATTGCTTGCTTCAGCAATCAAGCATAATAATATTATTGTAAAAGTACATGCTTTTATCGTTTGAAACGATCAGTACCTGTACTGGTACAAGTCATGAATCTGTAATATGATGTATACTTTGTTGTTATGTGCCGGTGGCTAATATCAACAGATAAATTGTTATTGGCATGGTCAACGTACTTGTTTGCTTCTCGATCTTCAAAGTCAAATAAAGTTGTTTATTTAAACCTTGCTTCTTGTGCCTGAAATAGGAAACAAACAGAGGTTTATAACATATCTCCCTATATATCAAAAATTTGAACATATTTTTTCAGCTCCTACGGTGTCCGAATTATCAGGACTTGTATTTGGTTTAGCAATTGGCTTCCTTGGCATGTTTTTCTGCAAAAGGTATGTTGAGTATGTATCTTTATATAATACGTTGATCGCGAATTTGGGCATGTTTTTCATGTGTCCTTAGATATCTAGTTAATTAAGTTTCTTTGAGATAATTATATTATTAATTGTGGTCGATGTGATGTGTCAATCTTTTGGTTAAATACTTTTCATGTAGAGATTTATAGTAGGTCAGGTCTTACTAAACATTAAATATGTATAAAAATGTACATACTATGATTGGGAACTTGCATTTTCTTTTACAGGTCAATTTAATTTGGTTCTTATTTTCACAACTGCAAGGTGTTTTTTTTAATGAATCTATGTATTCACACTCTGTTTACAAATAGTGTGTAGAGTTCAAACGTACGACAATATTTTCTCTGTGGGAACTCAAATGATGTTTATTTTACATTTAAAAAAGAGACTGTATAGCAGATATAAGTTATTAAATATCATATTTGAGCATTATTTATCTTAAGCTACAAACAATGGTCGTTTGTGTAAGAAGGGACTTTTTAGGATTATAATTCTTTTAGAAAGTGATCATTACATTTATTTGATTGGCAGAATAAGAAAAACACAGACGGGAGATGGGTCAACTGAACAAACAAATCTGGCTAATAGTCAGGCGATGACAGAAATTCCAAGGAACAAAAATATTGGTGAGACGCGTATAATAGAACAAAGCACGGAAAAGTTATACAACCAAATAGAATATGATGTACATGTTATCGGGGTTCCAACATGTTCGGAAAAGGAGAACCTGTCTGATAATGTATTAAACTACAAGTCAGATTATGATCACTGTGGTACTTTTCCAGCACCCCAGCAACCTAAAGGTTGCACTGGAGAATACAGTGCAATTAAAAGTATCGTTGGTCAGGATAAGCAAACATCTCTTCAGGATGAAGAGGATTGTTCTACATATGACAGTACTGTAAAAACTACAACCAAACATTTTCAGGAGAATAACTTATACCATCATTTGAGTCCAAATGATGTAAACATCAACAAGCCTGATGACACATAAAATATAACTGGAAGTCCAGTATAAAAGATGATAAAACGTCTTTGTACAGTCTTAAAATATGTATCAGCTTCGTGTTATGTTTTAAATGTTATACTATTGCATAACAATTGTTAATTTGCTACATTTTCAAAAACATTTAAATGGTTACTTATGATTACATTATTTCATAAATAACTGTCTATTTTTGGCCGGGTTGCACTGGTGCAAACCCGGGTTATAGTATGGTGAATGTCGGGCGGCGGGCGTTCGGGCAGTGGGTGGCGGGCGGTCGGGGAAAAACTTTCGTTACAGTTTTCTCAGTAAATACTTATCACAGCCCCTTGATATTTGGCATACAGCATTGACACGTGGTTCCATACCGTGGGATTCGATTTTAGGTCTGTCGCTCATCCACTTCCTGTTTATCGACTTAGTTAAATATTCAACATAAATGGTCAACGGTAGGAAATTTTCGTAACAGTTTTCTCAGCAACTACTTATCACAGCCTTTTGATATTTGGTATACAGCATTAACACATGATCCCATACCATGGGATTTGATTTCAGGTCTGTCGCTCATCCACTTCCTGTTTGCCAACTTAGTTAAATTTTCAACATTAATGGTCAATGATAGGAAATTTTTCGTAACAGTTTCCTCAGTAAGTACTTATTACAGCCTTTTGATATTTGGCATACATCATTGACACATGGTTCCATACCGTGGGGTTTGATTTCAGGTCTGTCGCTCATCTTCTTCCTGCTTATCGACTTAGTTAAAATTTCAACATTAATGGTCAATGGTGGGAAATTTTCGTAACAGTTTTCTCAGCAAGTAAATATCACAGCCTCTTGATATTTGGCATACAGCATTGACACAGGGTTACATACGGTTGAATTAGATTTCAAGTATGTCGCTCATCCTTTTCCTGTTAATCGACTTAGGTAAATTTCCGACATTAATGGACAATGGTAGGAGGAAATTTTTGTGACAGTTTTCTCAGCAACTACTTATCACAGCTTCTTGATATTTGACATACAGCATTGACACATGGTTCCATATTGTGGGATTTGATTTCAGGTCTGTCGCTCATCCGCTTCCTGTTTACCGACTTAGTTACATTTTTGACATTAATGGTCAATGGTAAACATTTTTTGTAACATCACAGCCTCATGCTATTTAGTATATGAATGCAACCGGGCCTTTTCTGTCTTTGACCCATTTTTAATAAACTGCTGTGGTGTAATCAAGTTCGGCAGTATTTTATATTACCTTTCAGTCATATAAAGAATACGGCTTGTACATTGATTGTTCTCTTTGTAGTATACAAAAGAAATTTCAAATACTTGAAAGGTCATAAACAATGTATAATCTTTCATAATAGATGTATCCTAGCCGAGGATATAAAAAAGAGATAAATAATATCCCAAAATGTTCTCCAATATTGTACTGCCGTGGGAAAGCTAAAATTGTAATAAATTATTCATCTTTTTAGTTAACTTAAAATGTGTCTTGATGAAACATCTTCATATGCTGTGTCAGTGGCATTTTTTAAATACTTATGCGTATTTCAAAAAAGGAAAGTGTTACATTAATAATAAAAGATTATAAAAGTATTATAGTATTATAATTAATAAAGTTCACAAAAAAACTCTTGTTGTCAGTAGACATAAATAGCTTGCGCAAGTGACTTCAATATAACAACTTCAAAATCGATAGGGGCCTCATACATGCCACGGAAAATGCCCCTAGAAAGTTTAATAATTGAAGAATTGACTCTATCACCTATTCAGTTAGTGGTAAGTAAATGACGTCAAAAAAAAAATCTGCACATGGTCTAAGTTCGTATTTAATTTCAAAACTGAGCATTATTTTTCTTTATTTTTTTCTGTCGAACACTCTTTTACTGGTCCATGTCATTGTGACCTGAAATACAATAGGTCTCTTCTTCTAGCCATGGCCAACATCCAAACGAAACCTTAACCGTTAGGTATTAGTCGAACAAGATTTCAGTGGTCAAGGTCACGATGAACTTGACATTTAACCTAATGACATCAAAATAAATAGAGGTCATCTACTAGTATTGACCAAAAGTAGTCAATGCAATTGTGACATTAACATTTGATCTATTGACCTAAAATCCGTAGTTGTCATCTATCTATTAGTCAAGACCAAATTACAAAAGAGAACATAAGCGAAGAAAACTATTTCTAACTATTGGTCGTCTACGTGAATTTACGACTTCAACTTCACGAATTCACGATTTCAGATTTTCAACTTCATGAAAATGGATCTTTGTATTTCTCAAAAGAAAACTAACTGTATTTTCATAAACAACCATATCCCTGTATAATTGTAAACCAATTACCATTAATTTTAGATGTTGTAAGAAAGTGCAGTTATTCCCCGACGCGTGAAGCAATGACCTTATTGAACACTTAGCAGTCCAGTTAATATAACTTTCAAGGTTAAACTAATTGCAAATGTTATGAAAGTCACTCAACACGTTGAAGTATGATGCCATATATAGGCAGGAGAAAACTGATGATCATAAGATGATATATTACTATAAGAGTGCAAGTGCATTACAAGCTTATAACACTAATTATTTGTCTATTCATAATTACCAGCATTTACTAAAATGCGGAACAGCTATATAATAAATGTTCATTCTAATCCTTCGGGATCATTGATTCTAGCACTTACAAGTGTACTCTCCTTCGCATCGGTCGAATGTTCCACTATTGCTCACTTTCTAACTAACGTGAGTGTATTCAGTGAGTTGCGAAGGAACCGTTTTTCAAGAATTGACATTTGAGTATCGCTAGGTGCTAGGGGCGTGAGGGATGTTGATTTTTACATTATCTCTCATGTACAGACTCAATCAAATCGTGTCTGCAATTTTCATGTAATTTGTTGTGATTTATGCTTCCGAGGGATCATCCTTTTTCCAGATTTTCATATGTAATCAACCATTGAATTTTTTGCATGCAGTATACATCGTATATGCTTACATTTCATGTTATAAAAGTGTGTTGCCTAGTAGAACTGAAATACGAAAAAAGTATGAAACTGTCGTTTACTGTTTTATTTTATGGATTTTGATTACTCGAATGAGATTGTGACAATAAACATTTTAAAATATATATACATAATTTATGCTTGTATAAGTACGCTTGATGTAATTCCTGAATTCCGTGAACAATCCAAACTCCTCACAGCGGTTTCTTCCCTTTATCAGAACAGTCTACGCCGAAGAATTAAGGGGAGATCACCGCGTGGAGATTGTAAACAATCGTGTTTTCGCGGTTTCGTGTGATTAGGTCTGTTATTTCATTTTGTTTCAGGCTTGACTGTATGTAAATATATTTCATGCAGGCCCTTTTTCAGTTGATGTGGCTGGTAAATGTATTTCATGCAGGCCTTTTTTCAGTTGCTGCTAGTTGTAAGTATGTAAATTCATTTTTGGACTGCCGTCTTTTCCATATTACAAAACCCAAATGCCTACATTTCAAACCTTGTTCAGTATTCATATATTCAGAGATGTATTGATTTGCAACATACTGAATTTCTCATGGTATAAATACAAATTTGATATTAAATTACAGAATTGTACATGGATTGAAATTGTGTTGAATTTACATGGAATTAGATTTACACTGAATAATACATGGAATATGAATTGCACTGAATTTGACATGGAATTTGAAGCACACTAAATCCCACATGGAATTCGAATTGTAATGAATTTCTCATGGCATATGAAACACACTGAATTTCACATGGAATATGAATGGCACTGAATTCCTCATAGCATTTGAATTGTGCATCTGAATAACCGATAAACTAGCAGACGACAGGCTATTCTTATCAGTTGAGTTTCAAGTAAAGTTAACCGGTTTCAAATATCTCAGTAAAATTTGTATGTAAAATGATGAGACAGGTGGTAGGTTTAACAGTTAATTAAAGTACTTTCGGTGTCAAAAGATATTTTGAAGTATATAGTAGTACAATGCTAAGATCTCGATCTTTTCATTGGTTAAGACTTTTGAAAATTGGATAATTATTCGGATTAAACCGGCAGTTTAAAAACACAGCACAACATGTATTGTTTTAACAATAGAAAAGCGATTTTACTCCAAGTTAAGGGACATAACTCGATATACCTTGGTTATTTACGTAGTTCATATAGAAAGTGTTTATGGATGTATTTTGTACTTACTGAATTTCACCTTGAATATAAATTGTGCTAGTTCAATATAAAATTCGTTTGACACACGTTCTTAGCGTGAATTTGATGATACCCAATAGTTTAATATTACTTAAAAATATGAAATAAAGTTATATATATATATATTTATGTCCATGTTTGGAGGTGTCCATACTTAAATATTTTTTATAATGTTATTTCTATAATTGCTCATTCTCATTAGAAGTATTGTTTTCAAATGGAAGTGTAAGGCAGATTATCCCCAGGGTGCTGCATGCTTGCCAGAACAAGCCTGTTGAAAGCAATATTTGCCTTGTTGTTTAGTTTTTTCTTTTGGTAATTAGTTGTTCGTCTGTTGAAACACTATCAACACCAGACTTTAACAATATTCTCAGTGCTGGCAGTTTGCTGTATAGTGAATTGCTAAACTCTCATGTGATGAAAGACCACGTGTTCTTTGAACCCCAAGAAATGTTAAAATTTATGATCTACAATAAAAGAAAGTGTTGTGTAAAACACAAACAGGTAAAATCTGGCCAAATTTAAAAGACACATGATATACCAGGGATGGGAAACTTAGAAATTGCTATTGTGTAAGGTTTTTCCATTTCCTTATATGCTATTTTTTTTAAAAGGTTGCATTTAAAACAATGGAATTTATTACAGCCTTTGTTGTGTTTGACAGACACTCTCGAAGTGACAAAGGACTTATGATTCCTGATTGAACGTGTGTTATTGGAATCGTGCCACATTCTTACGGCGTCCAAAAAAATTCAGAACGCCGAGGTGAGCGCAGTAAAACCCCTGTCACACTAGGACAGCGTTTTCACGGCGTCCAAAGAAAATTAAGAACGCTAAAGTGAGCGCTGTAACATCGCAAACATCGCCACAGCATCGTCGTAGCATCGTAGAGACATCGCATAGAACGCCGACCAACGGCCCGCATTTTGAACATGCTCAAAACAAACGCCGTCACTCGGCGTTCTAAAATGAGCGCAGTAGCATCGCAGTAGGGACGCAGTAGCAACTCAGTAGCATCTCCTACAACGCAGCAGGAGCGCCGCGAAAGCGCAAAAGAAACGCCAAATGAACGCCATGGTTATCCACGGCGCTTGTACGGAGGTTGTGCAACGTCTTTACCGCGCTTTAACTGCGTGTGCACGGACCTGTTACGGAGCTTTACGATTTCAACGCAGTGTGAGCGCCGCGAGAGCGTCGTATGAGCGCCGTAAATGCGCAATGAAAGCGCAAAGAACGTCATAGAAGCGCAGTCCGAACGTTAACAATCGCCAACTAAAACGCAGTCGAAGCTCCGTAGCATCGCCATAATCGCCGTGAGGACGCCGTGAAGCCGCCGTGAAGTCTTCGTGACATCAACAATGTCACATTATTTATTGCGATCTCGCGACGCTTTGTTAAATTTAACAACGCCGTGCAAACGCAGTGAAAGCGCATTCTAGTGTGACAGGGCCTTAAGATTGCAAACATCGCCGTAGTATCGCCGCAGCATCGATGTGACATCGCATAGAACGCCGATCGACGGCACACATTTTGAGCATACCCAAAACAAGCGCCGCCACTCGGCGTTGTGATAATAGTGTAGTGGGAACGTAGTAAGGACGCTGTAGCAACTCAGTAGTAACTCACTTACAACGCAACAGAAGCGCCGTGAAAGGGCAGCATAAGTGCCAAAAGAACAACATGGTTAGCCAGGGCGCTTTTACAGGGAATGTTCGGCGTCTCTACCGCGCCTTTACTGCGTGTGTACGACGCTTGTTCGAGCTTTTATTTTCTCAAACGCTCTTTTTGAGACTCTACGACGCTGTCACGGCGACCATTGCGCTCTCAAGGCGATTCTACTGCGTCTTTCTGAAATTTCAGAATACAGTACAGTACTCCCTACTGAAGACCACTCCGGAATGAAGATCACCCCTGTACTAAGACCAGTTTAGCATTGTCCACAATTAAGACCACACCACTTATCTACTTTTAAGAACGCCAGTTCAGTTCCATTTCATTGTTTTATTTATCTTACCCCACTATTAAGACCACTGATATTCCAGTCAATAGCTATTCAGATCACAAGTTTGTGCTTGAATTCTCTAAAGCATGACACTTGATGAAACAAGGTGTTACAACTGTTATGATTGGAAAATTTTATAAAGGTGCAAAAATAAACTATCAATGTTAGTGGTTAAATGTTATTTTCTGCAAATTTATTTTGTGAAGAATTAATTTCTTTATTAATAAGGTGAATTATGTACATGAAACAAGACCTATGAAAATCAATCTTTAATATTACATATCTTTAGACTTCAGTTCTTATTAGGATTAAATATAATAACATCAAAGTATAGTAAATTAAAGGTTTTAATATGATTGTTTAAACAAGTTTACACATAAAAATTCAAATAGAGTGGTGATGAAATATATACGCCCTGATAAGTATAGACTTTATTAAGACCATCCGCAATAAAGATCATTGTGATTTTAGTCCAGTACTTTTGTTGGTTTTAATAGAGGGTTTCCAATTTATATATAAAACGTGTTAACAAGTAAATATCCTTTTAACAATGGGTGATGAACGGCAGCAAGCTGGAATATTGCTTGCATGAAGCTGCAGTAGGTACACGATTATTCAGAAGGAGTAATTGCTGGGATATGAAGCACAATATAAGCGCAGTGTGAACACCGTGAGAGCGCCGCGAAAGCGCAGTGGAAGCGCAAAGAACGCAGTAGAAGCGCAGTCTAAACGCAGACAATCACCAATTAAAACGCGTTATAACCCCGTGGAAGCTCTGCAGCAACACTATGATCGCCGTGAGCAAGCCGTGAAATCAAAATGTCATCAAAAATATCAGAGTTTTCTTGCAATCGCGCGGCGTTTAGTAAATTTATCAACGCCGTGCAAACGCAGTAAAATCGCAGTCTTGTGTGACAGGGCATTTTGTCAATATTTATTCTACCTATGCTTACTGCATACAGCACTTTCATTGCTTTGATTTAAA